GCTAACCGCGGGTTAAACGCGCTTAACCAGAGGTTAGCTAACCTGTCCTCTAACCGCGCTTCGAACAACGCAATTTTAACAGCGAGTTAACAAACTCACGGTTAGGAAATTTAACCTCCGGTTACGCCTAACCAGAGGTTAGTTTAACTTGTCTTTTGAACAACTGGGCCCAGATAGAGATTACCCAATAGAGAACATTATCGACCCTCCGACCAACTGGGGCCCGCTGATGCAGGGATAATATCGCAACATACTTAGACAGATGAACTTGTCCCACTTCGGGTCAGGGGTTGAACTTCTTCAAAATAACTCAAATCACAAATTACATCGGCGAAATACAAATATGAATTCGTCTGGTATCAATCGTTTTTCTTTTCCTTTCCGGCTGCCTCGTCATTTTTTCCGACACCAAGGGCGTGGACTGCCTCTTCTCTGTGGTTCATGGTTTTAAAAACATAATCGCAACGCTTCACAAATCCCCCGACGGCCTGCTTGTGGAAGAACGCCATGAAATCGTTCCTCAGCTACGTGGAAATTCCCTTCTTAACGTTTCCTTTCGCTTCGTTATCATTCTCGTCGTCAAGGCTGTCTGAGAATAGCTCTAACTTTCCTGTGTTGCCATGTTTTGAAATGAGCTCATATTCAGCCGAGTGGAGTGAGTATGCCATGTCTAGAACTTTCTCTCTACGGATAACAGCTACTCGACCAAAGACCAAGCTGCCATCATCGGCCTCGACCTTGAACCCTACCTTTTTGACCGCGAGAACTGTGACATTTCCACCGATAAAATTTCTCGCTCACTAGATTGCCTTTTTAAGTCAGTTTGCTCGGCATGCTGGTCGAATCAGCAATCAAATCAACAGTTGCATCGTCTCCATCGTCAGGAATGCCCTCTTTGAGGTCACAAAGGTTGTTCTCGTCGTATCTCGTAAATGTTAGTGATTTAATCAGTTTTTCTGCTTTCACTTCGTATTCTTGACACATCTGCCGTCTCTTGAATAGAATCGACGGCACCCATTTTAGCTCAGTCTAGGTTATTTTGTACAGAACCACCACCTTGTTCCTCATCAGTTGTCAGAAAACTTTCTTAAGAACTCTACGAAACCCTCCACAAGGTCTTGAGGGACGTCGGAAACAACCTCAATAAAGCGATCCGCGGAATCTTTGCATTCGTCTGGCTTATTGCAGAACATTTCTTCGAGTTGATGGGTGGTGTTACGGAATTTGAAAAAAAACATCTCTTAACTTGGGTGAGGTTCCAGGCAAGTGTGGAGCCATTCTCTGGGTAATACTTCAGTGCGCTCATGTCTCGTATTGCGGCAACTGTCAGCGATCCTAAAATCGTCTTTAAATAAGCCATAGTAAGTTCAATACTAAGAAATAACTGTGGACCTAGAGAAAGATCTTTTTCGTCTTGTCACGAGCGCGGTGAAGGAATAGAGAAAGATTTTGTTCACCTCTCTGTCAAGTAGCGTGTAGGTTTTTCGCTTAATAAACTGGCACAATGACTTCTTTGAGCTGCTTTTACCTGGATCCAAACTATCATGTCATAATTACTATTTAGGGGCACGTCGTCAACCCACTTTTAAAATATGTAAATTCAGTGACCGCCGTAACAACCCGTGAAGCTTACGCTTGGATCGTTAGCTCTTCATCAGAACGAATGAAATCCAAAGTCCTGCTGTCATGTTTGGAAAATACCTCTCTTTGAAAAAAAAAATCAAGAAAGGGGGAATCGAATATATATCTTTTTGTTATTATAACATAACTGCTTGCTGCAGCAGGAGTATTCTATAGAAAATTACTTAAAACAATGTAGGACTCTTCGTAAACGAATTAAAAATAATTCACAAGTTAACTGCCTAGAAAGGATTTTGAAGGGGCTATGGCATCACATGGAAGACTTTAATTTGACAAAAAAGATCCCGAAAAGAAACTTTTTGGATCGGCTCGTAGCTGCAGTGATTCTTAATATTGCTTCTGATGAGGAGTGAAAAATATCACAACAAGCTTAACTTAGGCAGGTAAAATTTGTTTATAGATAAATCATGCGGAATCTTATACATTCAAACACTCAGCCGCATGGGGCATGTTAATTGATACTTTGTCAATGAGGCTTTGTCTTGTCAAAAATTATAGCACTACTAAAATTCAACTTGAGAAAAAATCTCATCATTGCCTTGCCTTCTGTAAGTCAAGTATGACAGTAGAAGGCAGTGGTGTAAATTTAGAATTTTTTACACATTTTTATTATTACTTATTAACATTTTACTTTATAATCCCTGAAAAGATTTTCGTAACACTCCGCCAGTTGTATCTTAAGAAGACTTTAAATTTCAGAGACTTACGCAACTGTAGGGAAGGGAAAGTTGTTCCAATATGTTCGAAAATTTCCCCGTTGTATCTCTCTTCTTATCATTACATGCTTCCGGTTTCCGCCTTTTTGTAAAATTTCACTATCCCATTTGGCTTAGAGGGTGTTTTCTGCCCATTTTAATTAACTTTCCCACCGAAATGGTAAAATTGAACTAAAACGGAACAAACAAACTGATCTGGTATCACGCTTGACAAGGCTGCAAAATTCTTGTGTAAATCGTATAGCTTCCAAGCATAACAGTATAGGCAGCGTTGTAAATTTAGATTCTTTTACAAATGTTTATAAATTACTCATTAACATTTTACTTTGTAATCCCTGATGAGACTGGTAATTTCCATCTTGTGAAGAAAGAAAGATTAAGGACTACAATTACATACTATCTTTCCAAGTGTCTCTACCCCAGATCACCGATGTCGACAAGTAGTTTCATGTGGATAGAGTTCATTGCACGCTTACTGCTCTAAGGGCTTACAGCAATATCCGCTCTGGCGCCATTAGTGTGACCTTCCCTATCAGATTTCCGGTTCCTCCCGGCTGAATTCTTCCTCCAGGCCAGCGGAAGATACTTTTTATAGACTGTTTGCATGTGCTCTTCGTAGATTTCTCAGATCCATGTCAATTTCACTGATTTATGATCAAGGAAAAAAAAAAGGAAGTACATCCCCAGGGGGAGGGGCGATACTTTCAACCAGCCTGGTCGTCCTCTCGTGACCGTCTTTCAGACCAAAACATATCATTTTTTTCACTCGCTTCCGTACGTGACCCTTTAATCCACACAAATTGTCAGAGCTAACTTCTTTAAGGTGTGCTTACCATTACTCTGATTGCGACGACTGATCCCCTTTTTCTTCTTCCTGAAAACCACACTCCCCGCCAGTCGTATCTTGGAAGACTTTAAATTTCAGAGACTAATATAACTGTACGTAGAGAAGGGGAAGTTGTTCCAATATGTTCGAAAATTTCCCCGTTGTATCTCTCTTCTTATCATTCCATGCTTCCGGTTTCCGCCTTTTGGTTTCTGCCTTTTGGTTTCCGCCTTTTTCCGCCTTTTCACTATCCCATTTCGCTTAAAGGGTGTTTTCCGCCCATTTGAATGAACATTCCCACTGAAACGGTACAAACAATCTAAAACGGAACAAACAAACTGATCTGGTATCACGCTTCACAAGGCTGCAAAACAGTTCAGTAGGCTGTCTTTGTTGCTGTGCCCTTTTTAATGAAAATATTAGTCTTTTGATCCACCTTAAGTGCTGCATTTACATGTTATTAAAAAAACAAAGAGTCGAGTCATGTGACAAGAGCCAAGTAATGTTTATTATTTAATACATATGTCACGCCTACCAATCGGAAATAGCTCTTCACAATATAAAATCCGGTTAGTCGTTTACACCATCTGTTTACCAAACTTTGAACCAAATAAAGTGTTCTAAAATTTTTTCAAATGGCCCCCCCTTTAAAGCCGTAATGCATAATACTACGAATTAACATTAGAAACAGAAATTTTGCCCGATGATGTTGGTTTCGCCCGTTCCAACGAGAACCGCGATCAATATATTAATGCAAAGCAAAACAGGAACTTATGGAGTCACGCGTGTTTAATCCAAGCCAAATTTATGAGCCACAATTGTGACGTAATTGAGGGCTGATAATAGCATTAGCGCAGTATATAACAAATAACGTGAACTAAGTTGCTAACAGTTGACAACGCTTGGATTTTGTAACAGCTAAACTCTGGCGATTAGTTTTCAGCCGAGAAGATCACGATGAAGATGTGGGTGTTTTTGTGTCTGTTTGTTGGTTTGACCCACGCTAATCGGGTGAGTGTATCTTAATTTGGGAGTTTATGTCAACTTCCAACGTTTTAAATTCTCGACGCAATTATGATTCCGTCCGTTCCCCGTTGCGGAAGGTTGATTTGCGTAAAATCAAAGAAAACATGCCTACTTCGCTCACTTTCATTCATGTTACTACAACCGTTACTTAATCAATCGTCTCTTGAACTAGCAAATCACGTAGAACTTTTACATTTCTCATGGTCGTAGCTAGTGTTTCGTTTTGTTTGCTTTCAAGACACCATGCAGTAAAGTCACATGGTCGAAGTAGAAGTGACAGTTGTCAAAATTATTCAAGTGAATCAAACGGTCTAGATCGAACGAAATCAAAAGCGCCGAGGTGTCTTTACCAGAATATCTCTTTTAAAAGTTAAAAATGCTTTAAAAGAAACTGCCGCTTTTTAACGTTCGATCAGCGTGTGGCTATTTCATTGTTCCGTACCAATTTTCTACGACGTTCTGGGTTTATCCTGAAAAATAAAAATTCACGACGCTCTGATATTGTGGCCACTCAAGCGTAAATGACTACAAATAAATTCACATTTGGTATGCTTTGAAATAAAAGTTAAAGATAAGAGATTTTTTTTTCAACTGAGGAAAGTAAAAAAAAGGACGCCAAGCTGGATTCTTTTATCAACTTATTTAAAAAAAGGGGACAAAGGGGAAAAGGAAAAAAGGACAAGAAGAAGAAAAATAAAAGGAAAAAAGAAAAATGGAAATTGACCTCTAAAAAATGTTTTTTTCTTATCCACGAAAGGGGAATTTATGCCTGATAACAGAGCTTAAGTTTAAGCTCAACTTTTTTCCATAGAAGAAGTTTCAGCTGGGTGCTAGTCGCGAGTCGTCTGACACGATAAACAATGAGACTTCGGTTTGAAGTTTCTTTCCGGTAACTGAGCTATTTGAATCGATAGTCACGCACTCATCTTGACCTTGTCACGTTTTCCGTTTTGGCAAAGGACCGGTCATTTTTTATTTTTGTTGCGTCACGATCGAATTCATTCACAATTGTTGGAATAAGCACCCGTTACAGATTAAAACGAATCGCATTGTCATCCACCTTCCCTGAAGTGCTTTCACATTCCTCGTCAAAGCTGCACAGAAACTAACAGTTTCTGGCAAGAGAAAAAGTTATGGGACGTTATTTTCACTTGGTATTGGGGCATTTGCCAAATTTTACTGGTTTTCATTCGTTTGTCATTCAGCTATTTTTTTTTTTACGCTCACTCTTTTCAGTCCACCATGTTTTTTGCCCGTTTACGTCTGTCCATGGGAATGCTCTCTTGATCTTACCGAATTACAGCGATTTATGTTGGAAGCAAAACCAATTACGTACGGTTTTGCTAAACTCTTCATAATTTTCTACACTTTATGACTGGTTAAAAAAATTCGCACCAACTCGCTCGTCTAAGTGGTTCGATTCTGCGGCTCCAAAATTTTGTGGCTTCTTGCCCGTTGTGGCTTCTTTCCCGTTGTTCTAGCCCGTTGTGGCTTCTTTCCCGCTAACCTATGGCATTTGTTCTATTTCAGGTAAGGAAGGTAGCCATGCCGACAGAATTACGGAATGTTATGGCCGACGTAAATTCCTTGGACTCTTTTCTGCGAGTTGTGAATGCAGTAAAGTTGAGAGCCGTCATAGACGAATTAAGGATCCATAGCAGAGGCAACAAAGGTGCGAGAAAACTCACTCGCGTTTTTTAGGGTGGTTTATTAATATAGCTGGATATCACTTAAATTTGCTGTCATACCCATACGTCCGCTAACGTGACCATCTCCGGAAAAATATATTAGTCTTCGTGTGGAGATAGATGTTTTATTTCTTACAAAGAGCTCACTACAAAGGCCACTCCTCTAGTTTTACCTCAGCGTTGCTGCTAATTGGTGCAGACAAATTAAAGAAGTGTCTCCAAAAGACAAACCGTTTTTGAAAGAGCAACGTTTATGGCTAAATTCTAATCTAAAATTGGAAGTAAATTTTGTTTTTGCTTTGTTTTGTTTTGTTTTTTCTTTTTGTTCAACAAAGTGATAGTAGCGGTGGGGTGGGGAGAGTAATTCGCCTATTGAGGTCACTTCTGTTGTTTGACTAATCACGTGTCTTTCAATTCAGGTCTACTGCATCAAGGAATACCTGCAAATGAACATGGCTCACTTGAAAAATGTAAGTTAATTTCTTTTATAGCGATGTAAATTGAATATCTTCCAGCATTTTCAGTTGTAGTCATCATAATGGGAAAAAAAAAAAAAAACAGCGATGTAGTTCAATCCTGCTATCACTCGTATCAAAAACAATTTTAAAAGCGGTCGGGCGATCATATGGAACGCTACCCCATAAAAGATTGGCAATGACTCTCTTGACAGAGAGACAAACTTGGAGGAACTAAATTTTGCATTGGGGTTTTTGAAATAAGGCACTCTTAACCTTTAATTATGAATAATTATTAATTTTTGCTTCATAGCTGAGATTCCGAGCCAACTAGCAAGTGTTCTCCAGGATTCTGATCTACCTCATGTCATTCTGAATAATGCGCCTTGTGCTCCGCGTCCTGAAGTAATAGAAGTACCTCAGCCTAAAAATGAAAACGCTTTTTATTTTCCTTTTTTTGTGACTTTACACCGTTGTGGCGGCTCCTGCAACGCTAGGCCGTTTGAAACAAATTGCCAACTGCAAGGTAAGTCAAATGAATCGCAAGTAAAACATTTGTTATCATTAAGCATTCGGTCCCACCCACAGAATGGATTCTGGTATAATGGTATTAGAAGACATAAAAGCACGAGAATGAGTTGAGAGTCAGACTCTCAACTCATTCTCGTGCTTTTAAACTTTTCAACTCCCAGCGGCCAATCAGGACGAAGGTTTGCATCATCATTAGCCTACGAGAGCTCAAAGTGAGGACAAACGACTTCTTCAAGCGCGGAAAACTGAAAGTGACCAGGTCGCCACTGTTTTTTAGTGTTACATCTGATTGGTTGACCGGATAAAGCGAATTTTCTGGACCAATCACGGGGCAATGTTAAGTAAAACCAAAAAACGCTCTTTCTGAATAGTTTTCTCTCTACCTTGCAGCAAAAGAGGACTTCAATCTTCTTGTGAGCAAGACGTCTTGGTCATCATCATCAGACAGACTTAACGAGACATCATATGATATTGCTGCAGTCCGCATGACGAATCACTCAAGTTGTTCGTGCCAATGTAAAGTTAAACCTTCTGATTGTGATAATCGAACCCAAAGCTACTCTAAAGAACATTGTAGATGCGATTGTAGAAAGCGTTTTATGCGTTGTCCACAAAACTACCGCTGGGATCCAATCAAATGCCAGTGCACGTGCAGTCCAAGTAATGCAGTTCTAGCTGAGTGCACAAAACGCGTCGAGTTTGATATGGAAACGTGCCGGTGCACGTGCAGCAAGAAACGTTGCAAACCTCGTGCAAAAGTGCGAGACCCCAAGACCTGTAGGTGCAAGTGTCCTAAGTGCCCTCAACCAAGGATGAGGCAGAATTTACAGTCATGTACCTGTACCCATTCTATTAGGAAATTCAGTAAATTACGACGTCGTTACGACTAAACCAAAATGAGAAAGTCGCAGGGAGACTTAAAGCAAAGAACGACACGACGACATCGAAAACGAGGAGAAAATACACTAGAACAATGGCTAAGGCAGGCTTGTCAAAAATATTTTGAGGAACTGGACTGTGATACTAAGGAGGTGGGACTAGAGATCGAAGGTCCCTCTGCAGGCGAGGGCCTGGGAGCCACAAGCACTCAGAATAGCCGACGAGTTTATCAGGCTGAATGGTAAAATTCGCTGGCTGCTTGCTTGTTTTGACAACCCGGCCCGAGACATGTGTTTGAAAACTTATAGATTATTTCAGTGCCGGCCGTCCATCTTCTACAAAACGGCAACATGAAATCACCAAATTTCATGTACTCCGAGAACGGGAACGGAAGCTCGGTGCACGTTTCCTTTTTGGAAACTGATGTTGCCTTCAATTGTTGCTGAAGGGGAGATCTAACGTTGTTAGAGATCGTTACTTCAATGATTTGAAAACTTGAAGTTATCTTAAGGGACGTAAACTTATTCTTTTGATCAACGCCCTTTCGGCGTCGTTGTCGTCAATGCTTTAAATCCCCAATAAACTCTTTATCGTTACTCTTCAGGGACATTTTGTACCATTTAGAAAGAGCTCGCCATAAAAAAGGCGAAGCTAGAGGAAAGAAAATTAGATACATTTTGATTCATGCAGTTCTCCCTCGGCCATTTTCTCATCAACAGCCACAAAATCGTAATTCACCCTCATTAACTGAAAACTAACGGTGGCCGTTTGATACCGAAAACCGAACTTTGAGTAATATAATTTTCTATTGAGTGTCGAAGATAGTCTGAGATTGCTTTGGTTTTGTTTTGCTTACTTGGTCCAGAAAACTCGAAACATTTCCACAACAAATCAAATTGCTTAGGGTACCTTGCTTGTTCTTTCTTTGAGTTCTAATTAATTCGTTGGGATATTTTCCTGGATTCTGATTGGCTGCTGTGATCGCGACTCTCAATTGAATTAGAACACGACACTTTTTAAATCTTTTGTGACCTTTTATTGTATAGTAGATATTTTTAGGAACATATTCGTAATTTTATATGTAATAAATTAATTTTTATCGTACGACAGTATTGTTTTTTGTAACATAAGGGCCTTTTTGAACACTAGCCTCGTCCCTGAATGGGCTACCCTGAATAAATAAAGTTTATCACTTCACATCGCATAAATCGAAATGTACTTAATGTTAAATCGTTACTTACTAAGTTTAAATGCTGAAAAGGGTAATTTTGTAAAAAGATCTTTGTTTTGTATCGTCGTAGACCTCGTCATTACAATTATTTGGCTTGAATAATATTTGTGAAAAACCTATGAAATATAAATCAGAATAAAAAGATGAAAGATAAAGTAAATGAGTAAATAAAGTTATTAATGGAGAAGAATAAACTGATACTAATGAGAAAATTGATGTCAAATTGAATTCACTACAAAGCTCTGAAAAACGCAATCATCAGAAATATCTATTGAACTTAGTCGCGTTCTAGGGAACCAAACAGTTCAGAGCAAGGGTAATTACCGTTAGTTTGTTACTCGAAGTCAGTTTGCTTTCGTCTTCTAATTGTTGTAGTGATGTGTCAAAACACAACTAACCGGCTAAAATCAAATCAAAGTGTTCACGGTTTTGAGAGTCATACAGTCGCGAGGCTCAAAATCGCGCCGATCCAAGGCTGACATCTCTTTAGGACATAACTAAATGGTTTCTTTCAAAACTTGTCGTCTTCTCAGCCGAAGGAAAATCCGCTTTTCAACAGGAATGGGGCTAGAAGCAGTTAACTACAAATGAAGACGAAACTCGATCGAAAGTAAAAACATGGCAAACGCCACCTAAAAGATATCTTTATTCATCTTCACTGAATCTTTTATTCTCCATATCTGCAGTCAACAAGAAACGGTCATCTCACTCAGATGACATCCTTAAGCTTATCTTTCAGGCAATGAACGAAATTGTCCAGACATGTCAGTCCATTGTGATTCTGAGTTGCCTTGGAGACGCATCCCCCTAACTCTTTCTCACAGGGGCTCTGTAGATTAAAAGAATACAACATTGTAGATGAGGAGACGTAATTTTAGAGACGTAATTTTGGCGAACAACTCTCGGCTCAGTATTCAGTCTTGGTGAAAATTATAGTGGTCATCTTAGATTTTAACTACAGCGTAAGGTTCAGGAGAGAATTAATGAAATCTGTATCAAAGGGATTGGTGGGCGACGGTCAGAAGGTAGGAGGGTGGGGAACGTTTTTAATTTGCTTTCTCATCATCTTTTCTCGGTCACCACTTAGAGATCTGACTCCTTCAAGAGCCGGTAACTAAATGGTCAACACACTTCACCCGGCACAGATCTAAAGGTCCTGGCTCGGTACTTTACCGTCAGCAGTGTCTCTTGTAGCCTCTTCCAAGCTCTCAGTTTGCGGGGAGAGCGAGATAGGGGGCGAGAATGAAAAAAAAAAAAAAAGAAACCTGAATGGAGTGGGGAAAAAAGAGGAAGGTCTCAAGGGTGGAGGCAAGTGAAAGGGGTAGGGGAGGAGTTACAGCTATAGACTAGCATCCGAGCTAGTAGGAGGAGATGACATCCCTGGAGTTTCTTGTCAAGAGAACTTGAATAAATTGATGTAGTTATGAGATCTTGGAGTAATATCTTTATTGAAAATTCAAATTGATAGGATGAGGTACTTACGGCCGCGGAAGGAGGATTCAGTTTTGAGTGAAACTCTTTGAAGCACTGTTTCGTTTGTTGGCCCGGTTTGAAACATTTCTGCAGAAGCTGTACACTTTTCTGCAAAACAAACATCAACGATGAACACATTAAATCGACCTCTAATTGGCACTGACTTGCGATTTAAGAGCACTGGTAGATCCAGAACTTAGATTAAGGGTGGGGGGGGGAGGGGGACGGTTTTAATGTGTGTGTATGCTTGCCGGCTTTTCTTTCTTCTGCGTTTATTTCTTTTACCCAAACTAAGGGTGTTGGGGGTCCCCCGGGCCCCTCCCCTAGATCCGCCACTGTAGTGCATTTCGATCGCGAGTCGTAAAGCTGAAACCCAAATAGTCATGCACAGCAGCCAATCAGAGTAAAAAAAAAAATCAAAAGATGCTGATAAAAATCAAAATAGAAAAGAGCTAACTGCTCCTAAAGCGCAAGAAACCCCGAGTGACCAAATAGTGATTGGTTCCAGTTTTGTATCTGATTAGTTTGAGAGAGGATTGCGGATTTCTAAGACTAATCACGGTGTAAAATAAAGTAAAACCAACTCATGTCCAGATCACTTTCGATACACAATTGAAAATTGTTCTAATCAAATGAGTTCAGCCCAATATGCGGTGGGCTGGTGTCTGATTGGGGTGCTGCGTTGGCCTGCGGAACAGCCGCGTTCATTTTCGCGCTTTCAGGTGAAAGAGGGCAAAAAAAAAAAAAAAGAAAAGAAAAACAGATCAGAAAGATTATGCTCAAAATCTCTGAGAATGCATGAAAGTTGGGTGAGCTTAAAACATGTGAAATGAGTCGCCTGAAATGATAATCCTAATTTGTTGAAAATTGGTTCTATTTTTACAATAATCAAAATTGAACCTTGTTTTTTACGAGGGTTCTCAAACAAAAAATAACGGATTTTTCCAAATAGGGTGACCTCTATCCTTTCAAATTAGAGGCGAATATTTTAATTACAACGATAGAGGGTTTAAGCATGAAGCTACTGGGAATGGCAAACAGTATAAACGAGTTCTGATTTCATTTTCGGATTTCATTAGTCCTGAATAAGCCTTTTATATATTTAAAAAACAAACAAAAAAAGCTTTGTCATTGTAAAAGCGTATATTAAGACCTCAGAAAACCAATAAATTGATGCTTTTAGTTCTCTTAACCACTTTTGCCTCTCGGCTACTTACGTCTATAAAGGCCTCTGAGCCTCTTAGTGGTGCATCCCTTTTTATTTCTACCAAGTGCTTGGCTGCCGTGAAACCAATAATGGCACAGAATAAAAAGACTAACACTATCCTCATTGTGGCTCTCAGCTTTGGCTACGATTCTTGTAGCTTTTTGGTTTACGAAAATGTTATCTAAATCTTAAAGGCGCAAACTTTTGGAATATTCATGCGCGTATTCAATTATTTGATCACCTGTTAGCTATATTGTACCAAATCGTCACTTTTGGAACTATTTGTTTGTTGGTAATATCTGAGAAAAAAATACTTTAAGGTCTCGAAATAGCTGAATTCGTCGCAATGTCTAATATGCCTTAAAATTGGGTGTTCTTAGATGGAGAAGCCTAATAATTGAAAGTCGAGCGCTGTGCTGGGCTATCAGGAATTAAAAAGCAACCGCCCAAAGGCTCACAGTCTTGTTTCAGATGGAATGTTAATGAGTTCATCTAGGACTGCCTTATAGAATTAGGAAGTGTTTAAGAAAACTATTAAAAAATAGAGCATACAGAGTTTATCACCAGGGAATCTTTCAGTATATATTCAAGTGTCGAGTCTATTAAATTTCTCATTTTAGATATTTCTCTCCGTGAATGATTCTGCGTTTTTGAACGATTGAGTTGGCCTGAGAAAGGCAACAGCTGTGCGCTTTACAAGAACCTACAATTGCTTATTCAGCTGTTTTAGTGTTTGTGACACGAATTTTTGGAGGCATTTTTATTTTTTTTCGAAGAAAAGTTAAACAAAAATTGATAAATGCGCTTTTTGATTTTGGCTAGGTGACGTCTTGCGTTCACAACAGGGAAAGGCAGGTTTATTTCACAAACTATCTCAAGCTTTTAAGTCTCTTACGCTTATAAATCAAATCAATATTATGTGGCATTAAATTTGACAGAAACAGATTGAAACGGGGATTTTTGGCCAATGCTTCTATTGTAATATTCGAAAAATAAAGAAATTTTGACCTGGCTGTAAAACGCGTTACTGTATCACTGCCTGTATGATAACTCTTGGCGAACAGATTTACTTACAATCACGTCAACAATATTGTATTTGTTTCTGTCAAACGGAATAAATTTGAGGTAAAAAAAAAATAGGAAAAACGCACCGAATCGAAATATGGCGTCCAATTTGAATAACCAATGTAACTTACTTGCCTCGTCTTCACGTGAAAACTCAAAAGGATTATCACATGTGTGAGACGCTGGTAAGTCCAAAACAATGGCAATTCAAGTTGGGCGCCATATTTCGATTCGGTGTATTAAAAAAAAGAAAGAAACTGTAATCAAATTATATTTGCAGTATATTGAGTTGTAATGAAATTTATTTTTGAGAGAAGGTTTCAGTTGGATGTCACATATAAGTACTTTCACATATAAGTACTTTCATACCCACAAGGCCATAAGCTGAGCTCATGTTCGTGTCTCGAGAACCGCCAATAGCCCGTGCTTAGCAGCGAATTTTGTAAGATATAAAATTTGACTCAAATGAATATTTCCTTTCTATAAGGGATACAGAGTACTATGGGTCAGTAGGTCATTAAATTTGACCACTGAACAATTACGGAGAAATATTATGCAGGAGTTGGTTTTTTTTCTTGAAGATTTATTTAGCTAGATACAGCTTCTTTCATCTACACCGATGGTGTTTATGACACACAGTGGCCACAATGGCTATACAGGAAATTTTAACTAGCGTCCAGAGCCATCTAATTCGTCAGAGCCATCTAATTTGTCTTTCATGCAGCGGCGTTTGAAACGCATTATGCAATTGATAGGTTTGTGCCCCGTTGGTTCCCCTTCGCATTCCTGAAAACTTTGTTTGACACATTCAATCTGAAAAAAAAAAAAAAACAAACATAAGCGGCGGAGGTAAAACCAAGAAAAAATTGCCAAAGAAAGGAAGGAAATAAGGAGACTAGACTAGAACTGAAAAGTTAATAATGGAGTGGAAAGTTAAGTTAAGTCGAGCTAAAAGTCTAGTTTATAGCATGGTATGGCATGGTATACAGGGTTTCTGATTTGGATCCGTCTGCCGTTTTAAGTATTGCCAAACGTTTAACCTTTTTCCTCCCGTGAGTGACCAAGACAGAATTTCTCGCTACAACTCCAATACAATATCAAGCAGACAAGTGATGAGAATAAAGACAAATATGAACAAAGGGATCGTCAGTTGATCCAATACCAAATTCTCCAAGCTAACATTACGAGAATTTGTATGGCAGACAGTGAGGAGAATTCCTATGAAGATCTTGGGAGCGAAAGGGTGAACAAATACATTACATAATGTCATGCGTCTGTTTGGAAATAGATCACTGATGGCGTCAAAATGCGCTAACAACAAAAAAAGTGGCACAGGAAGGCCAGCAAAAGTGGCACAGGAAGCCCAGCCAATCTCTCAATGATAAAAAAAGAAAAAGTTTGTTTGAGGTGACGTCAGCTTTGCGCCTGTCCTCCAATAGGTCGTAAGTGGTAGGATTTACCTTGTCGTACAAACCTCGACAGATGACAAATAGCTCGGGAGGCAAATGGAATACGAGTTATTCTTGTGAAGAGGATGAGTGAGAAATAAATTTACTTTTATCAAAGTTACTTACCACTCTCTCATTATTGGATTGACCCTGGGGCAGTGCTTTTTTAAATTTTTCCATACATCCCGCTTTCATCTGACCATGTTCTCCTTGGAAACAAGCTAACAAAAGTTCAATAGCACCCTATGGAAAACAGAATGCTGTGTGATTAGCCTCGCCCTAGCCCTTCTCTGAAGATTTTCTTTAACCTTAAAGCACAATAATTTATTTAATCACTTTATCCAGAGTGTGGTGAGGGTCGCACAACAGAGCGAGGCTCCAAATTAAGTGCGCCCAATATCCCACCCATCCCACCCCAGGGGAGGACATCCATCACACAGTAATCTCGTGTGTGGGAAATTAACGTCTCCTACCCCAACCCTGCAGGAGACGGGACCTCCATTTATTCGTCCCTATCCGAGAAGACTAGAATATCTAACCATTTCTTGATGTTATAGAAAGGTAGCAAATTCTTCTCAATTATTTTAAGACCCTGAGTGTTGGTCCGGCCTGGGCTCGAACCCTCGACCTCCCGCACAACAGTCCAGCGCTCTATCCATTGAGCTAACCGGGAAGCGGTCGAGCTAACCTTCCTTTAAAATGGCGATCTACACAAAGCATTGTTTTGATTATAGTACCCATTTTCTGCTGTTAGAATGAATTGAAGGTTAAATCAGGGAAATTTTGAAGAACTATTGACCACCCGACTATTTCTCAAATTGTCTTTTCTTCAGATGCCTAACCACAACTCTTATGCGACTGAAATATTTTTAAGTTGTATAAAGAAAACTTGTATGTCTTCATAAATCTCTCATGATATATGGTGAATCAACAAGATTCATTTAATGGTTCAAGATAAACTTATTTTGAAACGTTTAAAAAAAAATTAAGTGCTAATGGGAATTGTCCAACCTTCTTTTAAAAGATGAAATGATGAGAGGATCAAAGGCGTTGCACCTTTGACCTTGTTCAGTCAACCCGTGAAGCTTAGTTTAGGTAATCATTAGTCGAAGGATTATTACACTTCCGTCTTTACACACAGCATTAACATTACTCAAAATAGCGACATTACTTACAATATTCACTTTACTTGCAGGCCACTCTTACAAGATTAACAACGCCCACAACTCTAACCTTTACAGAAAGTACTAACATTACTCACGAATTAACAATACTAGCGCTAGTCGAAGGATTTTGATCTCTCATCCTAGGTTCCGTCATAGCCGTTTAACTCCTTTTTTTTGAAGATCGGGCTGAAATTTCAATATCTTTCTGTTGATATCGCTTAATTATTCCCGTAGTTTGAGGGCCATTTGTTACATATGAACCTAGCATATGACGTAGATCATCAGATCACAATCGACTTTGGTGGGTTAAAGTGCGGTTCACTGAGATCCTCTCAAGGAACTTAGTCTTTTCTTTGTTCCGCACTCGTTGGCCGAAACATTTCAATTTTTCTCTAATTTCTGTTTATGGCTCTTTTAATAAGATAAACCTTGAGTCAAGGCAACGAGGAGTAAAATGAAATGAAACATAGATCACTCACTTTTAAAGATTTGACAGGACGTGGTTTATGTCCCCCTTTGGGGTCTTCAAGCTCCCAGGGCTCAAGCTCATTCAGTTCATCTTCGAGGCTTTCTGACAAGTCTTTCCCTATCAAATATCTTCCATTCACGAACGCTACAGAAACACTGGCAAAGATCAAGAAACAACTCACAAGGACGATTTTCATCTTGTGTTGCTTAAGGCCGCGAAATTTAATGCACGCCAGTGAGCTTTATTTAGTTGTTGTCCACCGCAACTCTTGAAGAGATTACATATCTTTCTGTCTCGCAACTGAGAAAGAAGCATGCGTAATGTGATCGACTTGGAACACTTTTGTGTATTCAGCTTGCCATGGGTTAAACTCGTTACCATTACTTTTGTTTCTTTATTGAAATTAACAGTAAAAAAAATTATTTTCTCTATAAGATATTCTTATGAAGCTCAAATGTAATAATGTTTGCGTTTGCAAGGAATTGAACAAAAACCCAAACTTACACATATTCTCCAAGTTTTTGTCAAGGATTCGAGTAAGCTGATTACCAAACGTGTCCCAATATCGATAGAAGGATAATATTGGCCTTAGTGAAGCAAAATGGAGTATGGGTATTGAATTTGACTTTTTTCGAATTTTATAATGTGAGTTTTCTTCACTGATTAGTATTTCTGGTTTGAAATATTGAAGGGGGTGTCTCTGTGTCCTTCAGGACACTTGGTTTTTTTTTATTTTTCTCATCAGTTATCTCCTTCAATGTACAGTGAATTATTCACTATAAATCACATGCTAATCACTTCTGAGGGACGTTCCCACACTGTCTTGTGTCGAAGGATTCACGAGACGAAAAACATTCCGAGTAGGACCAAGGACGAAAGAGGAAGAGCTGGGGAAAACTCTTCATTTAAAACATTGTTGATAAGATATTTTGTGCAATTTATATATAATTTGTGCGAAAAAAAAGGAAATGACAATTTTCAAAGTGTGATAGAAGCAGCTGCTTCTCCACTTCCGGTTGGGAGAGATTTAAGCAGCTGTTCCGTGATATTGTTTCATCTCGCCGTTAATACGCAGGCTTTGATTGGTCAATTCCACATCATGTCGAGTCTCGCTAAACATTCCTCCCTTTTGCGCTCATGAAAAATCTTCTCCTGCATAATTGAGGATATCTATGTTACAATGGTTTGTGCCATTTCAACCTAAAGGAGTACGCATCTTCTAGGACTCCAGCGCTAGCGCGGTCCTTTTAAAGTTTAGGTTATCCATGTTTCGAAATTATACGTGGGTTAGAACTGATTTTGGTGATTGAGTGTTCAAAATCAGTAAGCGAAGAGTTGAGGGAAATGCTTCGCTTTCAGTTTTCCAGTTTCTCGCGGTTGTAAAGTCTTATTAAATATCTAGCAGGTGAATCTCGCGTCGATATCAAACAACTTCTGTTGTTGTCTCGTTATCATAACCATCTCAGGGATCATGCGAATGTCACGGGCAATTTAAATCATAAAATCTCTTCCCAGTCTTTTCAGTCTTTTTCTTCATTTTTCACAAGCACTGCTTTTTAACAATCATAATTTCAACAACTCCCTTATGACTGGCCATTTTGTTTTTGTTCAAAATGGACTATTTAAAATTGTGCTGATTAAGCATACACTCAGCTTTATTTTAATTAACGTCATTATGTTAGGTAAATATGAAATCATACCATATAATTACTAAGTCCTCTTTTTCCTGTTTGTGAACCTGCAAAGCATTTACAAAACAAACCAATTTCTCGTTATGACTGAACTAATTTTAGGCTGCAGCTCATGGACGCAGTCTTACACAATTTATTATTAATATTTGTATGACAATTTCCTTGACATGCTTCAATAAAGGTAGGCTTTTGACGCTTGGTCGACAATCATACTGCGTACCAAACTTGGTGCAAACGATCCCAAACATTCGCGGATTCAGCTCTCATGTTGTTAACACTGAAAAAAGAACGCCGAAATTAACAAAAACACTCAATTAATATCAATATTTTACATGAGTATTTGGCTTTTTAACAATCATAATTTCAACAACTATCCCATGACTGTTTATTTCTTTTTTTTTTTCAAAATTGTGTTGATTAAGTATACATTCAGCTGCATTTTCATTAACGTCATTATGAAAAGTAAATATGAAATCACACTATAAAATTGCTTACCTTTTATTCCTGTTTGTGCACTTGTAAAATGTTTACCAAAAAAAACCAAACTTCTCGTTTTGACTGAACTAATTTTTTGCTTCAGCCCCCGGACGCAGTCTCCCAAACGTGCCAAACTTTACACAAACGTCCATCGTTTTCACAATATTTATAGTTGATATTTGTATGATAAGTTCCTTAAAATGCGGCAATAAACGTAGAGTTTTGATGCTTTGTCGATAGTCATATCGTGCGTCAAACCTGGTGCAAACGATCCCAAGCATTCGCCGATTTTAGCCCTCATGTTGTAGACACTAAAAAAAAAAAATACCAAAATTAACAAAAAGCCTTATTTAATTTCAGTGGCAATTTAAGATTTAAATTGGTAAAATGACATTTATCAAAATAATAAATAATTTCAAAAAGAATAAACCTAGAATCAATAAAAATCCTGACTGATTAACACAAGGAAGGCTTCTTTGACACCGATTGATTTGATTCGCTTTTTTCAAAAAGTCAAGCCATTCGAAATCTTTCTATAATTCATTTTGGATTGAAGTCAACCAAATGTCTAAGGTTGTACTTCACACACGCCACAGAGTAAACTCGACTGCAAGGTTATTCTGTAATCGTTCAGCATCAGTTTTTTATGAGCAGAAAATAAAAAGTTTGTCTGCCAGCTTCATGGTTGGAATATCAGAGATTAATTAATTTTTTGCCCACCAGATTCAGATGAAAACGAAGGAGAATAATGAAAATTTACATATCAGGAATGCACCCAAGCAGAGTTCATTTACAGGTAGCGGAACCCTGATTAAACTCACCTAATTTTTTTAAAGCAGTCATCCAGTATTAAGAGGGCGCTTTTCAGAATTTTTTTTCCTTAAATCCCTGTAATTTTCGCCTCTATTAAGCGGTCACCTATTTTAACAGGTCGTGGTCGCACCTTGTTAATAAGTCCCAACGGCCTGTTTGTATTGTCCTTCAGCTGTACTGCATGGTCACTTAAAACCAAATTAGAAATAATCTTTCAAGTAAAATGTTAATCCATGTTTATCTCCCAAAACCTATGAAAGAAGTATTTTTGTGAGTTTTTGTAAACTAAGCTAAGTGATCAGTTATGGCATAAAATGGCGTCTTTTACCCTTTTCTACTGTACCCCTATTCTAGGGAACCTGTATTATGAGGTCATCCATATGAAGCGATCATTTCACCCTTTCCCATGAATGACCGTCTTAGAGTCAATTCCCCGAGACAAATAAAATAAAACCAACAAGAGGAACACACAGCAATTTTTTCTCCAAAAATGATACTGCTTATTTAGCCTCAATGTTTAGAAATTTTTAATGCAAATGGCGGGGAACCATAAAACGCTTTTGGAAATCAACGCACGTGATGTGAAACTGTGCTATTTCAAAAATAGTGGTTCAAGTCAGAGAAAGGAAAAAAAAGAGGAGAACAAAATAAAAAAGCGGAAAACTAAACGCTCAGTTGAGAAATAATCGAATGTCATGACAAGATACAATCAATGACTTCGTCACAAGAAAAGTTGACATCACTGGGGAACCTAATGTTTTTGAGTTGCGAATGTCAACGGGACGTTAAAAGTTCTGATTTATAGTGCTCACGACACCTTATTGGTCTAGCAATTCTGTTAAAATGTTAAGCGAAGTCCCTAGTCAAAGTTATTGTCAAAGCGCACCAGAAGTAGTTTTGCCGTCCTTTTTCGAAATGTATCCGCTTCATTTCTAGTATAACTGCAGTAAATTTATAGCGCTATTTGCTTTAAAATGAGTTCCTTTTTAATTTAGGAACAATAACGTAATCATTAAACAGAGCAAATTGTTCCGACTTCACTTGTTGGTAAATAGTTTAGTTTTAATGTGAAAGGGAGTGCGTTAAAGATGAAAATTAACTTTTATGAATAGTTTTATTTCACTTTTATTTTTAGCTTAATCATAGTTTACTTGCGTTTGGCCAACTGGTAAGCGTGATCTTCAACAATTCTTTACAAAATCTGAGTTCCGGCCTCAGTCATTAAATCAACGTAATGTCACGAATGAAGAAACATCCCTGAGAAATTCACAGCTGGCGTTGTTTCGGTTGATTTAATCTTGCTTGCTTAGCTGCTAAGGACCTGATGGAGATAGAATTCCCATGTAATTAGTGTACCCAGCTGAGTTTTAACAAACAACTCTCAGAGCTACTGGAATCGCGCAGTTTTAATCTAAGTCACACAGTTCGTGAGACGTAACTTGGCTTTCGATATGGGGAAAACGAACTTCCCCATCGTGCTTTTATTTTTGGTGTTTCTCCAATTTATCACTGCTCAAGATTGGCTGAAAGTTTCAAAGCAGGAGCTTCTGAATCTAAGGAATTCAATTAATGCTTTTGAGGGTAAGAAATCCGACATTGTGTTTCTGGTTGATACTTCGGGCAGTTTATACAGAAGCGACTTCAACGAAGAGAAAAAATTTGTTATGAACTTGCTCAACGAGATGAGTGTGGGTATGCAAGCAAACCGTGTTGAGGTGATCCCGTTTGGGACCTCAGCCAGCAAGTTCATCACCCAGATTTCCGACCCGAAGCCAACTAAGAACAAGTGTACGTTTAACGAAATATTCAATCCCATGCAGCACAGTATTAATGGCTGGATGACGAACATGAAGGATGCATTTGAATTTGCATGGCAAGTTTGGCTGAACAACGGGAACAAGAGAACGCCTCTGACTCAGATCAAAACCGTCGTTATTCTTCTAACTGACGGATATTGGAATTATCCTATCAGTCACCCCAGTCCCGTGCAAAGAGCACAAGAGTTGGTGTCAGGCACTGTTGAGATTTTTGCTATAGGAGTTGGAAATGGAGTTAACCAGGCAAACCTTAGGAGGCTTGTTGATCAACGAAGCATAGACCAGCACGCGTTTTTCTTGAAAGACTTCAACGAATTTGCGGAACTTGCAACCTACATTAGGGGGGGTAAGTGAAGTCTTGTGTTTTTTTTTTTTCACGATAACACAGAAAAAATTTGGCCTGTGTTACCAAACCCCAGTTGTAGTGAAGTAAAACGAATTAAATGTTCAATCGATTTCAATCGATGTTCAATCGATTTTCAATCGATGTTCAATCGATGTTCAATCGATGTTCAATCGAGAGCCATTAACTTCAGTTCGGCATTTTTTAGTCGAGTTTTCGAGGCTTACCGAGCAAAGTAAACGAAACTTAATTGGATTCCTAATAACTTTGGATACACTATTATGACCTTGATTCACGAAATCAAATGGTCAATCCGAGCATTCATCCGATTTCAACCCTTATAGCCGAGGAAAAGATCTCTTCATACCCTTTGAAGAACGAAATCACAGCACCTCATCATATGTACAAAAGGTTTGCCATCATAATATGAATAACATTTTTTAGAAAGATAACATCCAATACATAATTAGATAGTTTACGTTCTTTTTATCTGTTCGGTACACAGATATCAAGTACTGATAAGCCAGAACATTTTTCTTGTCTTGCAGACCCTTATGAATACTTATGGCAAACTGAGAATGTGCACACGTCAAAATGTAACGGCAATTGTGATCCAAAGGCCTATTGTTCCTGCGGGTTGGTGTACGGTGACTACAAGTGCTCGTGTCCCGCGGGACATTCTGGATCGGGATTTGTGGGCCAGTGTAAGGGTACGTAAAATGAAGTTTAATTGAAGAGATGCTGCACCCACCTATTTTATGATTAGTCTCAGGTCATGTGCAGCTATTTTGGACAAACTGAGTTACCTTGAAAGCAAAGAAAACAAAATTAGCTTTAAAAAAATGGAATGGATGCCCAAATTAAAGAACGTTCCGATAAATGAGCACACTTTTGGAAAATGATGAAAGTTTTCGCCAGGTCGTCGAGTTATTAGCCGAGACAAATAGAATTATTAGCCCGGGATAGGAAATATCTGTAAATGGAATTTTCCTCACCCTTTTCTAGATACACCTGGCTATGCTAAACAAATTTCAAATAATATCCCACTGGATGCGTAATTGATCGAATCCAACCGTCCTTTTGCAGTGACTGTGGCTACCCAAATAGCCTGTAATAAGTTCTTTACGCCTTAGGCCTGGTTAAACCTTTAAAATGCTTAATCTTAGAGATCTAACCTCCCGGTCAGCTCAATTGGTTAGAGCGCTGGACTGTTGTGCGGGAGGTCGAGGTCGATGGTCCAAGCCCCAGCCGGACCAACATTCAAGGTCTTAATATATCCGAGGAGAATGCGCTACCTTTCTATAATATCAAGAAATAGATAGACATTCTAGTCTTCTCGGATAAGGACGAAAAAACCGTAGGTCCCGTCTTCTGCATGTATTAATTAGTTAAATTGGTTAGGCAGGGAATTGGGGGGGGGGAAGGGGCATCTTTCCTTCGATTGTTTGTAAACTGTTGATGCAGTCCGGCCAAGTCCCGCGAAAAGTATTGTGATGCGCATTTGATCATATCCACATTTGCGCAATATAAATATTAAATTATTATCATTTATTATTATTATCTTCAAACGATAAGTCAGACGGTGATTTTTTTCCATTTTTTTTTATTTGTAAATAGAATGTCCACCCTCCACTTACAAAACATTCCTTGGTTACGCACCCTCGTGTAATGCCTGCCCTGCCAACTCGGGTCATCAGAAAACGGGTAGCACCACTATAGCCGATTGCAAGTGCTTTGATGGATATGAAGGAACACCTGAAAACGGAAACGACTGTATAAGTAAGTCATGCATGATCCATGTGGTTCCTGCTTTTCGCCAAATTAAAACAACAGTAAGTGAAAAAATCAATTAAAAAAAATTAGTTATCAACGCACCGCGTTAGAACTATGGAAGTAAGGCGTTCCGTTTTTGTGCTCCTGTTCATAAAGATGATAATGGCATTTTCATTTGCTAGTTCGCAGTTGTGACGCGCTGTCAATTCCCGAAAACGGCGCCCTACAGGGATCCTGCTATCGCACGTACGGATCAAGCTGTACTTTTGCGTGCAATGAGGGATATGAACTCAGTGGAACACCTACGAGAACATGCACCGTCAACGCTGCTAATCAAATTTCCTACAGTGGAAGTTCTTGGTCATGCACAGGTAAAGTGAAGTGTCATACTAGATGGTTAGTCATAATTATACGACTTTTAAAAAGAAAGCTCATCAGAGAAAACTTGCTCATGCATGACGGCTTTTTCGCTTACAATTGTGTTGTACCGGACACCTGCTCTTTTAACGAAGAAGAAGACAAGCCAACGAGGGTTAGTTCAGAACAAATGTGTTTTTTTAAACAGTGGAAACATGCATAGTCTAAACCGTTGTTATCTCTGATTCGTCATTAGTTATTAGGTGTCCAGCGCAAAAGGTGGACTATGCCAAGCCCCCTTCGGGTACATGTGTTGATAAAGACGGAATAGAAGTCGCAGACTTAAAATATGGAACGAGATGCTTTTTTACGTGCGGAATAGGCTACAACCGCGAAGGAAATGAGTTCAACACCTGTCAGCTGGACAAATCATGGTCACCGACAGCTCCCATTTGCAAACGTATGAGATACATATATCTTATTAACCAAGCGCGAGGGCCGTACTGGGAGAATATCGGCCGAGGGCCGATATTCTTCCAGTACGGTCCCGAGCAAGCTTGGTTTATAAGAGATTTATTGTACAACTGAAGTTCAAAGGGAAATAAGTGCGGTATCATTCGGGACCATTCGGGACAGTGCGCGGTCCAATACTGAGAGAATATTGACCGGCAATAGAGTATTTTGATTGTTTGATTTTAGTTATTGGCCCTCTGACTGCCCGAGTCGTGTAATAAAAACAGTTATTTGAATGAGGCCCGGAAGACACAATCTTTCAGCTCAAGTACACAGATTTGCAGCATAGTATATTCTCGGCCACTTTGCCTCTGTGGCGG